GTCACGCCCATGACCCTGTGAGTCCCTACCGAGAGATGACTGCTGAAATGACTTGGACATTGTAGGACTATCTCTTGTCTATTTTATAGATTAAAAAAAATTTTTTTTAAAGACGGCCAAAAAGAAAGTTCAAACTAGAAAGCTAGGTTAACTTTGCTTCAAAAAGTGGTAACGCCAAGAAAAAGGATCAATAAGGACTGTAGAATCTTCTTCAAGCTGAGAACCAGCAGACAACTCTGTAGAAAAATAAGCAATTTTAGTCATAAATCCCTTTAAGTAGATGCCGTTTTTTTAAGAAAAAAAAACTTACGCATCATGTTGATTAAAAAAAAAACATTTAAGAGCTCAAACTTACAAGGAATTTATTACATATCTTAAACAGATTCCAGATGTATGCAGAGCCTGCATATAGATATTTAAAAAGTAATCTTTCATGCTAGTTTAACTATTAAAGGGAATTTCATACTGAGTTTAAAAAACATTTCAATTGAAAGGTTAGATGTCTGACTACATCAAAATTTCAGTAAAAAATATAGATGGATTTCTTCTTTTAGAAGAATAAAAACACAACCTATAATATGATGCTTAAGTTCCAGAAGACTAAAACAAAAAATCAAGTTCAGCAAGTCAAAGATGAATTGTTTGTACTGTTTTGGAAAATGAGAACTATTATCACTATCAGAAAGAACCAAGTAATATCACAAGTAAATGAAGCTTAGGTTTCAAGTACCTAGTTTAAGATCTAAGAGCCAAATAATAGCTGAGACCTTTATGCAGCAAAATTTCAGGTTAAGACAGATGTGAATAAGAAAAATAAGTCATTTCCTACAGTTTTAAGGATTTCTACCCAAATTCAAGTCATATAACTGTCTTTTTACTGACCACGCTTTATCAGACAGCGTTTACTCCACATCTAATCTTTGAAAGTAAGGGGAACTCTGGTCAGTACAAAGGTGACCTCCCAAGAAAACAACCCAGGTACAGGAAATGTAGGTGATTTTAAAGAAAGAAACTCCCCAACTTAACGTCCATCAGTACTCATTTAATGTTCAGAGGTACAGCACCCCTGAAGCTCAAAACAGGTAAAAATGAAAATGACATCTTGGTTACAGATTCTGGTAAACTTTTCACAAGAATAGCCAATCACCCAAAAATTTAAATTCTGAGTTTGATCCCTCAAGATGTGTTTCTGGATGAAACTATATTCTTCTTCTTTTTTTAATTAAGTAATTATCGTTATGACTCAGAAATCATCACAGAAGAATTCTCAAATCATTTACATATAATTCTTATAAAATATTACTTAAAAGATACACATAACCAGTATCCTCAATGGAACAATGTCATAATCACAATTAAATTCAGAGGTAAATTTGAGCTTGTTTGCTATAGAATTCTACTATGAGGCACTGCTTAGTTAAGTTTTTATGTTTGATCATCCACACACATAAGCACTAATAGTTTAATACTTTCAAACTTTATTACAGTCAAAATTAGATAATATTCAAAAATCACAAGTCTATTATGGGACCATTCAACCAAATGATAGATTAAAGCAAGGATATACCAGACAAATACAGGAGCACAGTAAGTATTTTTAAAAAGTTACAAGCAAGAATTTAGATTTTTAAAAAATAGAAATAATGAAGTTAAAAGACACAATAATGCTATCAGAGGTGGCTGGAATTACAGAAAATGGTTTTGCACACTAATGAAGATGAGTTTGAGAAAAGACATCAAAGAAACTAACTCTAGATGAGATCCACTATGTAAAGTTTAAAACTAATAAAGAGTGGACTCCCATGGATGAGTTTCTTTGACATGTCTTATGTCATAGAAAATAGCAGCTGAACACTATACTATATAAACAGATAGGACTCCCTAAATTTTCATGTATAATTTTTTTTAAATAGAGGTTTTTCAAAATAAAATAACAAGTATCAGAGTTATTAATTTCAGCTTTGACTTTCATGTAATAGCCAAAGCTTTGTATTACTGAAAAGCCAGTCTTTTGAAATAAATTCTTTTCACTTAGAGAAATAATAATCAATGGTACTATGTGTTAAATTCTAAAATTGGCCATATTTTTAAAAATGCAGTTATAGAAATCTCAACATTTCTTGTAGCTTTTGTAAAAACAGTGGATTGAATAAGGAAAGTTAAGAGAAATAAAAGTAAAAGATAATAACTTAAGACAAAATGATGTCAAAAACTCAAGAAAGGGTAAGACAATGTATATCCCTTAACATGTGATCCCACAAGAAAAACCTTAGTATTTTAGATACTCAGTTTCAACAACTCCACACAAAGACAGCAGAGTAACATTATGAGAAGGAATTTATGTAGGATTTTCATCAAAACAAATAATTAAGTCAAATTCTTAAAAATGTTATTAGAACAAAGAAATCAAGAAATATCAGGACAGCACTGTTGAGAAAGCACTTATGAAAATAGGCCCTCTACTTTCATCTTTGATGGATGCTGAACATTAAGATGTACAGAACTCATGTATAAAGGTTTATTTACATAGATTTGCTGCCTAATAAAAAGTTGGCACAATATTGAGATATTTACTCAACTATGAAATTTTACAAAAGATTAGCTTTTTTTCCCTTAAAATTAAAAAAATTTTGCCATGGGGTCGGCAGGTGGTGAAGTGGTTAAAGCACTAGATTCCCACGTGGTCTACTGTGGTTCAAGTCCCAGACCTGGTGGCTTACTTTCTCCCTTTCCCTTTCTCTCTCTGGTCAAGATAAAAAAAATAGTAACAAATAGAATTAAACAAACAAATAATTCTTTCAAAAATTTTTCTTTATGCCATATAACATGTATGTCACAACAAAGAGAGAAACAGAAAGAATCTTTCTTTTCCCTATTCCATCAGCATTCTGGCTAAGCGTGTATGTGCCACCAGGCTGAGATTCTAGCAACTGTTAGTCATATGAGACCTAGCTTACCATATAAAGATTTATTTTTTATTTTATTATCATTATTCAATTTTTATGAGAGCGAGTGAGACAGAGAGGAGAGTGAGAAAGCAAGTCGTCAGGTTCAGGACCTGAACCGTAGTCGGTTATGTGGGAGTTCAGCTCCTCAACCACCACGCCACCTGCGGGCCCTGGAAATAGTTATTGTGAAAACTAATCTAAACATGTCACACTCTAACTTGTACATTAAAAATCTCTATGCTAAATTCTAAATGCCTGACAATACAGAACTATTTATTTCTAAAAGAGAAAGCACCACTCCCAAACCAGAAAATATTGGGGTCGTTGGGAAAGTCATGATGTATTTTTTTAAAAGAATTATTTTGTTTACTTATCATTATTATTATTTCACATGAGTTTTTGCCAGAGAAAGACAGGCAGAGAGAAAGAGAGAAGAGGATGATGGAGCAAGCTGCCAGGTCCGGGATTCAAACCCTGGCCAGCCATGTGGGAATTCCAATGCCCTAATCAGTATGCCACCTGCTGGCCCCAGTTATGATATATTTTTGCACTGGAAAACACGTTACCACTTTTCTGATGCCCCAACGTCATTGCGCACCCTGCCCCAAAGACTACCAACATTACCCTTTACTTAACTTCACAAATGCTGTTTATTAGGGACCAGCAGATAGTGTAATGGTTACATAGCTGGATTCCCACGTAGTAGACTGTGGTTCAAGTCCCAGACCGGGTGGCTTAAACCCATGGTGGGCGCGCGTGCGTATGTGCACAAGATCCCAAGAGGAGAATGGAGGAGAAAGGATTGTGGCACTTTCTGCCTCTCTCTGTCTTTCTGGCAAGCGCACATGCCCTATAGCAAAAACCTCTCAAAACAAACAAACAAAAAGTAAAAACTCACGGGAACCAGCAGTTAGCATAATGGCTATGTTGCTGGACTCCCACGTAATCGACCTCGGTTTGCGTCCCGACCCGGTGGCTTAAAACTCATGCTGGGCGTGTGTGCATGCGTGCCCAAGATCCAGAGAGGAGAATGGAGAAGGGATTGTGGCGTGACCATCCCCCCTGGGGGGTGATTTCTCGCTTTCTGTCTCTCTGTGTCTCTCTGTCTGCATGGTGAGCACACGCACCCTAGAGCAAAACCTCTCGGGGAAAAAAAAAGTCAGTTGTATTTCGGGAACCAGCAGTTAGCGTAATGGCTATGTCACTGGACTCCCACACAGTCGACCGCGGTTCAAGTCCCGGACCCAGTGGCTTAAAACTCACGACGGGCGCATGTGTGTACATGCCCAAGATCCCAAGAGGAGAATGGAGAAGAAGGGATTGCGGCATGACCATCCCCCCCTGGGGGGTGATTTCTCGCTTTCTGTCTCTATGTCTCTCTCTGTCTGTCTGGCGAGCGCACGCGCCCTATAGCGAAAACCTCTCAAAAAAAAAAAAAAAAAAAAAAGTAAAAACTCACAAATGCTGTTTACTACAATCTGGTAATAACTTTTTAAATTTGCTAGAGGACACATGCACTCATCAAAAGCGAGGGTCAGAGAGACCAGCAGTTAACATAATGGCTATGTCGCTGGACTCCCATGTAGTCGACCGTGGTTCGAGTCCCAGACCCGACGGCTTAAACTCACGCTGGGCACGTGTGCATGCATGCCCAAGATCCCGAGAGGAGAATGGAGAAGGGATTGTGGCGTGGCCATCCCCCCTGGGGGGTGATTTCTCACTTTCTATCTTTGT